CATGAAACCTAGTTTTCTTATAGGTACAGTGCCGTACAAAATTATTAGCACAGAGAATTTTTCATCAGATAATTTAAAAAAATTTTGAAAATCTTGCTTTTTAGCCAATTAATAAAGTGCAAGTCTGAAGTTGGTAGCAAATCGCGTTGATTTTTAGCAATTTTGTTTTTACTGCAGTGCCTTCCATACAAAATGAATTGTCGAACATAACTAGTTTGTATGGAACAAAACTTTATTGGGTGTTCATGGGTGTTGTGTTAGATTTACCAATGTGTCCTGGTTTGGCAACGGAGATATCTGGAAGCCCTACTTTACGCATACGTTGATGCAGTATTACCAAAAGATATCACAATTTTGTGTTTTTCTTTATCATACATATACTTAAATAAATATATACATAATTTTAGTTCTGCCACTTCTGCACGTACATAAGTAAAACGCCAAAATTAGAGTTAAAAAATAAAATTATCGCCTTTCTTAGGTCAGCGGATATCTGATGACTTAAACCATATTAAATTATCTCAAAAGTTTGCAATAAATTTTGTTCGGCTAAATTGGTCAAACACGCCACTGTGCGGCTTTCGATAGCGAGTGTGCTTCGCCCATTTGAATTGTCGTATTGTAGAGAAAACATTTTGTTCGATTCGATTTGAAACGAGTAATCACTCGATGACGAATGCCGCGATTCGGGCCTACATTTGTACATTTTAACCAGTGTTGCCGCGCCGTGTCAAGAAAATGTATCACCCACTTAGCCAAAAATGCATCCAAATGTATTCAATTTCCTGTTTTTACGTATCCATCTCATAATTTGTAAAGAAACCAAACATTTTCAAGAAAAATACATAATTTAACCCATCCTAAGGACTTGGAATACATGTACACTTAGGTCTCTTTTTATGCGGATTTTTTTTTTATGCGGATTTGAATTTATGCGGTTTTTCAAACCATTATTTCGCTGTAGCGATTTTGCTTTTTTGAGAGTTTCAATTACTATTTTCAGTGTGTAAAAGACAATGCATCTGATAAATAATTTGTCTTTGTATTCTTACATAATAATAATAATAATAATAAAAGAATGGCGCTTACACATATGTTAGTGTTTGGCCGAGCTTCTCCTCCAATTTGTGGTGTGCGCCTTGATGTTGTCACACAAAGGGGAGGGACCTAAAGTTTTACCCCGACTCCGAACGGCGATTGTATTTTTACGAGAAGCTGTTTTTCATGGCAGAAATACACTCGGTGGTTTGCCATTGCCTGCCGAGGGGCGACCGCTGTTAAGAAAAAAACCTTTTTTTTCTAATTTTTTTTATGTATTCTTACATAATTCATGTATTTATTGTGGTATTTTTATTTATTTTTTTTTTGGTTAAAATACAGATAAAATTTTATTTATTTCATTAATGTTCGGTTTTACATGGAATAATAAGTGTTGAAGTGAAGAAATAAATAGTTTTTTTTGCTCAATAATGCCTCACTGGATTTTTTTTATGCGGTTTTTTTAGAATTTTTTACATGGAGTATCTGAATATATGCATGTACCGCATAAAAAGGGACCTAAGTGTATATATATTTTTATTTTTCATAAAATCAAACATTTGCAATTTCTATGTATAAATTAAATTTTTTGTGCATAAGCATTTTGCAAAGTAAGTATGTATAATAAAAAGTAATTAATATGTTACATTTGTACATGTACACTCTAAAAAGTGCATGTAAAACTACTATTGAAAAGTATCTATTTTTCAACAAATATCTGTATAAATATACGTATAAGATGTTCAGGATTTAATTTTGAGTTTGATATCTTTAAAATATACACTTAAAAATACACCTGAAATGTTTAACATTGCAAAAATTTTTAAACCAAAAATACATTTCCTACTAATAATAAACATTAGTAAATGTGAGCCTCGCTCTATTTTAAACATCTTATGTGTAATTTTGCTCTTCGCAAAATTTGGTATGTAAAAGTAACAAGGCAGTGTTTAATTTTATTACATGGTGCGAAAATTTACACATAAAAAGAGGAAACCGGTTACCTCTCTTAATGTGCGCAAATAAACAAAAAAAAAATTAAGGTGTATTTAAAGTCTTTTCAGTAAAATTCATACACATTTCCTTAAATAAATCAAATTTAGTCTTTTTTTACATTGAGATCTTCTTTCTTTTTAAATTAACAAATAAAAATATGTGACATGAAAGAGATTACTACAGAAAGAGTATCTATTTACTTTATATATATATATCTTTATATATATATTAAGATCTTGCTTAAAGCATCTCTTTTACTTAATTAAAACAATTGCGCTTCACAAATAATAAAATGCTTTTATTTCACGCTTAAGTAGTGATTTTTAAAACATTTAGAAAACGTAATGCATTCTACCATCTTTAATGTAAATCAATTTTTGAACGAAAAAAACTTGTTAGAAACTATAAAATTTTGGCCTATTTAAAAAAGTATCCACATTTATACTGATCGGGAAAAATAAGTATCTCGCAAAAATTCGTCTAAAAATGTATCCAGTTGGATCTATTTAAATCTAAACGGCATCCCTGATTTTGACAGTTACAGAGAGAAGTCGTTTATTGAGCTGGACTCATTCTCGATACAAATCACTACAAAGCGCCACTCTGTGACTGCCTAAATGTACAAATCGCGTGATTCCTGCTTAAGAGGGCATATATATGGTAAAAATATTTTACAGTAAAGTCTGTCTTAGCAGGTGAAAGAAAAATATTGTCAAGTGGGGCATAACCACAAGGAGGTTCTCTTATTTTGACCGCAGCTGTATGTATGGGTGTATTCGAAAACGTCAAAATACAAAGCATCACTGTCTTTTATTTCTAAGCCGCCCTAAGAAAAAAGGTCTAACTTACGCAATCTAGTTGAAAATTAAATAGAATCTAACCGTGGTTTCGAACGTTTGGCATTACACTCTACTGAGGTTTAGAAATAAAAGAGACTGCTGCTTTGCATTTGACGTTTTCTAATGCAGCCAGTACGTACACATTGTTTCCTATTTCTTTCCATGATCACACACAATAGCATCATAATTGAATTTGGCAGCACCTTAAACAAGATCGGATACCTTTATAATAGGTTCTTTCCCTAACAATCCGGACCAGATCCGGTAATTAAAGAATAAGTGAAAAGTTTGCTCTCAAAAATGGAACATAATCCAGAAGTACGGGAACGCAAAAAACCACATTTCGTGCACAGAAGTTGTGAAAGAGCTAGTGATGTGCTGAATTTTCGGTACCCAACATTCGGTTTACATTAAACCTTCGCCATTATACGCGTTTCAGGTTTTGGAAAAACTTTAATTATTAATTTATTTGATATCGGCTCAAACACTTGAACTTATCGCAACAGAGAAATATTATTTTATCAGTTTTAATCTTAGTTGATCCAAGGTTCAAGAAAAATGCTTTTACGTATGTAAAGTAAAAATATTTCATATCATACGTCAACAAAACCGATATCGGCAAAAATGATATCGGCAGATGCAGCTGGAACAAAACCTGAACCGTTTTTCCATATTTTTAGCCTATGTGCGCTTTTATTTGGATACTTTTTAAACCGGTACCGAATATCGATCAATACTTAAAAGTATTGACTCAGCACATCACTAGAAACAGGCAACATGTAAACACAAAACAGCTGATATGAACTTTGACGCTTTATCCATTTTTACCCGGAAAAAAGTCCGAGCTGTTTTGGGCAGGAAGAAGAAGACACTTACGATCCAATACTTTCCAATTTTCGCTCTCTATTACCCATTTTGTTGAGTACGGGAATGATTTCTGGGCTATTTGGGGCACCCGCGGGATCCCGCGTTGCGTACGGGAAAGAACCTAATACGAGCTTGTTTAAAGCAATAACGACACAATTCAAAATTCAAAACACAAAAACTGTTACTACTGTTAAGTGGATCTTGTCTCTAATCCATTTACATCCCTTACTAAAGTAAGTAGCAAGGATTGCTTTGACAAGGTTTAGAGACATGAGCCACATAACAGTAGTAACGGTTTTTATTTTTTGAATTGTGGCGTAATTGCACAGGACCGTCGATATGTAGGAGCTATGTCGTTGTTTTTTTGTGTGTAAACTAATAATTTTTAAAAGAAGTCTCATTTGCTTATCTTTCGGTTTTGAATTTTTTGTTATAGATTTTTAGGCGCTCTGAATCCGTTCCCTGTTGATTAGTAATATTAATATGGTCCCTGCAACCTCAATAGAAATTTATTGTATACATTTTAAAAACGCAGTTGATTGAATTGCCACCGGCGAATGTGTGCAGTAAGTATGTACGTCTGCATTATAATTAAAGCTATACTAAAACTTAAATATCGCTGCCTTAATATAGAAAGGCCCTATCTGACATCGTCGCTGATATACAAAAAGCCGTAACTAACTAAAAATCGAAAATTTACGTTTTAATTGATTATGATGCATTTGATCGCATTATATGGCCCCAAATCGTTTTATGCAATAAAAGATTTTAGTTAGTTACGGCTTTGTGTATTTCAGCGACGATGTGAGATAGGGCCTTTCTATATTAAGGCAACGATATGTACCTTCAAGAAGTTAAGAAAACCCAGGAATATTTGTGAATGCCTAAGCGTATTCGTAATACCTAATTGGATAAGCACACCGGGCAACGTCAACAACGCTTTATCAATCGAAGCAAGCAACGCAAATCGCCATATTGAAACTAGTCGAATTGAAATTGTGAAATTATACGTAAGCAATAGGAGCAAACAATGAATTGCCAAAGTGAATAAACATTTTCAAGGTTTCGTTTGAACTTCTCACCCTGACTGCCGCTTACCACCAACCATCCAGACAGCCACCGCTTTGCAGCAGTGCCTCGCAAAACAGCACCGCAACAAAGCGATTCAGCGATAATTATAAAATAAATATATGTAACAATATAGAGTAAGAAACGAACGAACGAGCTGTACAATCGGGTCGAACCCAACGCCCGAACAACGCGAGGCCACAAAGCCACGAAGTGTTCGCAAGTCAGATATACGAAAACATATCGCGTCAATCGACAGAGAACAGAAGAGCAAGTAAACGCTGTCACACACGTCGACATAACAACACTACGAATGAAGCACAAGTGCTCAATAATCACACCAACAACAAACACAGCCCACAATAGCATTAGCAAGAGTGTTGGGACAAAAGACGCCAAAGAAGGGAAGTGGCAACAAGTAACAAGATAACTTGCTGAACCACAAAGGATATCAGTGAAGCAGATGGAGGTGCCGGAGCTGTTGCTGTAGCCGTAGCGATAGTCAACGTCGGAGTCGTAGCCGGAGCCTTCGTCTAGATAGTATACGTACACAACAAATTAACCTTCAAACGGCTGGCGTGCGTGCATAACCACGCATACGCTCTACTTGCACATACATATATGTAAGTACATACATAGATATTTGTGTGTGTAGTTGTGCAATGAAAAATTCCTAATTGTGCACAACTGTTGTATTCTAGAAGAACGCAGCTGCATTATACGAAAGCGATAAAAGAGAGGTTGTAAAAGTTGAAACAGATACAGAAACCGATGCAAAAGCAACGTATAACGATTGAGTGCAACACGCAGGCGGCGGCGAATATGTATATCGTAGCACCACAGGTAAGTGCATATAACGGGTGATTTTTTTGAGGTTAGGATTTTCATGCATTAGTATTTGACAGATCACGTGGGATTTCAGACATGGTGTCAAAGAGAAAGATGCTCAGTATGCTTTGACATTTCATCATGAATAGACTTACTAACGAGCAACGCTTGCAAATCATTGAATTTTATTACCAAAATCAGTGTTCGGTTCGCTTTACGTCCGATTTATGGTCTACATAATCGACCAAGTGAGCAAACAATTAATGCGATTGTGACCAAGTTTCGCACTCAGTTTACTTTATTGGACATTAAACCAACCACACGAATGCGTACAGTGCGTACAGAAGAGAATATTGCGTCTGTTTCTGAGAGTGTTGCTGAAGACCGTGAAATGTCGATTCGTCGCCGTTCGCAGCAATTGGGTTTGCGAAACACATTTCGAACCGAACACTGATTTTGGTAATAAAATTCAATGATTTGCAAGCGTTGCTCGTTAGTAAGTCTATTCATGATGAAATGTCAAAGCATACTGAGCATCTTTCTCTTTGACACCATGTCTGAAATCCCACGTGATCTGTCAAATACTAATGCATGAAAATCCTAACCTCAAAAAAATCACCCGTTACATATGTAATGTACTTGAATACATACATATATATGTATACTATATTTACACTTTTAATGCATACAATTGCTGCTCGTTGATGAAATAATTTCGAGAAAACGAATTCATTGTCTATTACACAAACTTATTTTAGTAAGTAAACATTATCTAGTATATAAGTTTAATCAGTAAAAGTGACTAGTTAATTCATACACATACATGTATATGGGTATGTATAAAAATTGCAAACTTTCTACTTTGAAAAAGGTTGTTCTACTTAGAGTAGATCTAAAAATAAATATTTAAGTCACTCATTAAGTTGAGATTTTCAAATGCTTTGTTTATACTATACTTAGATACGAGTGTATTTGAGTATGCAAATAAGCATGTGGGAAGTTGGGTACAAAGATTCAAAGCGTTTATCATATGCAATGCCAAAACTTGGATTGTTGGCTTTGTTGGTACCTTTGTTTCTGTTGCTCGTCTGCCACGACTGCTGGTGTTGTTGACTCTGTTCACTTACTGATCAGATCGCCAAAAAAAAAAAATAGCATAAATAGCTGCAAAAGAAAACACGATGCTCGTAATGCCTACGAAGCAGCTACGAACTAAAATGCGAACCAAGCACCGCAGCAGTGATGTGGTTGTTCGTTTTTCTGCTGCTTTTCTCCATTAAGTGCTGTTTTCGTTTGCTTTTTTCATTTCTGGTTTTTGCATTACTTTCCCATATACAAAAAGGTACGTACACATCCATACAAATATATATACGTACTTTGTACTTACCAGTATGTCAGTATGTATGTATGTACATTGGCTTCGTTTGACACGATTCGCAGCTGTGACTAACCCAGACGAATACCATGAACACATCACAGCTCACTGCTCTCTGTTTTCAATGCTGTTTTTTAGCTTGTTGTCCATTTTACTGATGATAGACTGTACAAGTTTCGCAAATATGGATGGGATCATAGTGTAAAGTAAAGCTATTGTGATGATTTACCAGTCAATAAAAATCCCGCATGGTTGCGAAGGATATATAGAAATAAAACAAAAAAAACTAAAATATTTCAACTCCTTTTGTACCTTTATATATGTATACATTAATGTGTTCGCACATACTTCAGTTACATTTATGCATTACTTGTTTTAATAAAGATTTCCATAAACGAAAACGGGGTTTTGCCTATAGAAGTCTGCAGTGAGAGCCTAGATCATTACGCCCTATCTGTATGCTAAATACATACATACCATGAGAAGACTACAAAAAAAAAACTAATTTCTGCTGAATTGACACTTTCCCACTTAGAACGAATCGTCCAAAACTAGAAGTCCTAAGCCAATGGAAATGTAGAAAGGGAGATTGAAGTTGTTCTACGCCGTCACACATACCAGTATTTACATAAAAAATCCGTTTAAAATTATTTTAGAACTTTTCTAAAAATAAAACATATTTTTTCATATATTAAGAGCTACACAGGACACTTTTTAAATATTTTTTTACTCAGAATCTGATTCTACTTCTGTTTCTTCGTCATCTTGACACCCAGTACAAGATGATGGGAGCCTTATGACCATAAATTCCACTATCTCTTTTGAAAAAGCCTTTTGCTTTATCTTTGATTTTGGCCGGATGGAACTCAGGTAATGATCTGAACTTAAAAGAAGCCTGTTAATTACATACATACATATGTATGTGCCTGTTACAGCATTCACGAGACAATTTTCTTGAAAAATGTTGTCGGTATTGACGAAAGATTTTATTTCGGGCTTCAGCTGCCTGCTCTGAAAGTTGTCCGATCGGCAAGATGGCGCTCGAGCTGGCTAGTTTAAACTAAAATTAACCAATCAAATACCAGCCAGCTGTTCAATTTAAACAGAGTTTACGTAATCTAAGTTTAAACTGCCAAAACGGGCACATAGTATTTATATGAGATCTCCGTGGCAGCATATATTTTACTTGTTATTTGGTAGCATCCCGATTTTTTCAAAAATGTGACACGGATCGGTCCACAAAATCTGACCGACGAAGGAACCAAGTTTTGCGGCAGTGCTTTTATGTTTTCTGCTGTTTTTGTGATCAAGCGTAAAGGAGCAGGGGAACTTTGAAATATGTTTGCATCGTTATCTGAGCTGTTTTGGAATTTCTGTTTATATTGGGACTGTTATGATCCATCACATCCCCACTTTATTATTAGTTCTAAATTTTCTTTTTCTTTTTGTGTACAGGTATCTGCAACTTCGACAATGTGCTTATGTATGTAAGCGAAAAATCTTGTGGTCAAGTGAAAATGTAATGTTGTTTTACAACTTTCCCGTCGATCCTAGTAAGGAGAAAATCATAATTTATAGTACCGAATGACATTCCCATCCTCGGTTTCAATTATTCTTGGTTTTAACTTAGTCGCAGGGACAACAGAAGCTGTATACATATTAGCATCGGCAATAGTTTCATCGAGTACATTTATCCTTTGCTTATAGGTGCTTTGTTCTGTTCATCCATAACAGTCCCATTTATTAATCAATGTTAGTTCCTCTGGCAGTGGTTTCGACTTTTCTCCAGAAAAACTCTGCAATAGTCATCTAGATGTATGATTCATCAAGTTTTGGAGGTCAACTTCAGCTGATACTTCGGTAATTTTGGGATTATGAGGCACTGCTTGCTTCTTGGCTTACCTAATTTGTTGGTAATGACTCACCTGCAATATTATATATTTTTCCTTAGATAAACCAAGATCTAGAAACAGCGCCAAAGACTCTTCTGGACTGTATTTCCCAAGCAAAGCATTTGGTGGTGTGTGAATGCTATTTTTGATCCTCATGAGTTGCACTGGACTTGCCTTAACGCAACTGCTTGTGTTATATGAGACTTAATTTTTTCTTTGTCCCATGGCTATAGTTTCAGTAGCATCTGTTAGCTTCCTTTTTCTTGTGAAACTTGAGCACTCGTCTATGGGTTTTCTTCGTCTCCCTCCACTTTGATGGAGTTGGATGGATTTAGGCTTTTCTTCGTAAAATAAACTAAGTAGTAGAACGATTGGCGGCTTGCCATTTGCCTTTTATTTTGATGTATGTATGTATATTAAATGAATTTTTCCTTCAGGTCTCCATCTTCTTCAATGCTGTGAATTTTACTCCTTAATTCTTTCATAGGCAGCCGAAACAAGTCCCTTTTAGTCTCTGAAGCTCGAAATACCTCATGTTGTTTGGAGTTTTCTACAGACATTATTATGATTTTTGTTAAACATTTTGCATATAAAAAAAGCTAAACATTGATGTGAATTTACCTAAAGGTATATTATGCAGTTCATAACCAAAAAATATGGGATTATTATTAACAAATGCAAAGAACAAAAAAGCGGCCTTCCGACCGTACTACCTGCTTATGCGCGTTTCCAAGGTTGTTTCACTAATTGATATAGAAAGCAGGGTTCGTATTTGCACACACATGTGCAGCACATCCTAACATTTTAAGCTCACACACGTGTGCTGTGCATATAAAAAATTAAAAATTTGCTCACATCACATGTGTGTGCCGTTTGGTAAACAGCACGGGCACATGTGTGTACTTTCTTTTTATTAATGTAAAGCACACGCACATGTGTGTGCTATGCGTAGAGAAACTTATACACTTCGAATTCTAACTCAAATCTTAAAATAATTTTTTAATATGTTTTCTGTCATATAAAAAACAAACAACATCTCACTTTTTATTGAATTGTCTTTCAAAAAATAACGTTTAATAAACAAATTCTTTTAAGAATATATTATGTGCATGTGCATGGGCTGAAATTTGTACAAAAATCGGCTCACACACATGTGCATGTGCTTAATAACAAACAGCACACACTTTTCTGTGAGTAGAGTTTGTTTTCCACTTATGCACACACATGTGTATGAGCAGTGAGTGCAAGTTGAATGTGTTTCTGGCGTGTGTGTGAGCAGAGCATGTGTGTGCAAATACGAACCCTGATAGAAAGTAAATGCGCAACCCGGCACAGAAGAACAGTTTTGAATAAGATAAGGTAAGATAATACTTAGCAACCTTAATTTCAAAAAGGACATTTTTGGAATTTCTATTTATCTTCTACCAAAATTGGAAAAAGGGCCGAAAAATAGACTTTACGTGAAACAGGTAGATCTAACAACTTTCAGGAAAAAATTAACTTTTCCTGATATCTGAAATTGAAGTACCTTTCGCAAAAGTACAAAAAAATAGCAACTCGTCGCTTCATTTACAGACAACACCATCCTAAATATGACGAAAAAGAGCAATAAATACAAAATTTCCATGTAGGAAAATTTTTAACTTGAGCGGCGCTACCTCCTAAACTACTAATCTCTCTTTATTGAAAGTTATCTTTCGAATTACCTATTAAGCAGCATTGTTCAACTTTGCGTTCAACATTTGCGT